GGCCGTGGCAGCTGCAGGACAGAAAGAGGAAGGTAAGGGGGCTATCGCTGCGTGCCGAATCGTCGCCGAAGCAGCGGGCACTGCGAGGTTCCGTGTCAGGGTGCCCCTTTTACGGTGGTACCTGCTCTTACGGGGCCTCCCGCAACACCTGGCCGTTCCTGCAGTCTCTGGCCGGCCGGGTGCCGTTCTCACAGCCGCAGGCCTTCAGGGGAACATTGTGCCAAGGGCAGGTGTTGCTGTAGAGCTGGAGGTTTTGTTGACTGCTTCTCCCAGGTCAAGCCGTATCATAGAGGGTGATTAAGTTGCGGTGTGTCAACAGAATTTGATATACAGACCTCCACTTCTTTGCAGATGGTGCATTGGTGAATGAGCTGTACAGTTTGCTTCGTGATCAGGATCCTATTGTAGTCGTGAACTGTCTGAGGGCCTTAGAAGAGATCTTGAAGAAGGAGGGAGGAGTTGTCATCAACAAACCCATTGCCCATCATCTCCTCAACAGGTTTGTTTTCTTGGATGTTAAGATGGTGCTGGAAGCTTCATTCTTGTTGTTGCATTTTGCATGCTAGCAAAGCAGGTATTTCTGGGCTCCTGTCAGAACATGAAGGAAGAGTCAGGCACCCAAGGATGGAGGTGGCCATCCTAAGAGAAACCAAATTACTTTTATGCTAAGATCTTAAGAGAAATCTGAGATGCCCTGCTTTTCCAGGGAGTCTTTGCTTCAGCTGGTGGTTTGCTTTGGAATTATAGGTTAGTGTGACTAGGTTTGGGTTTTTTTGGTGATGGTTTACATGATATATTTAGAATAGAATAGACTCGTTTAGGTTGGAAAAGACCTTTAAGATCATCCAGTCCAACCATTAACCTACACTACCAAGTCCACACTAAACCAATCAAGGGTAGACTAGACTGAACCATGTCCCCAAGTGCCACGTCTACCCGTTGTTTGAACACTTCCAGGGATGGGGACTCCACCACCTCTCTGGGCAGCCTAGTATGTCTCGCCTAATCTGTTGAAAGATATATAACTTTGCTTGAAAAAATTAACTTTTCTGCAGATAATTCTATACAATCTGGCAAAAGAGGGGTATTTTTCTGCTCAGGGTTTTTGTCAATGTTGCTGTCTGGCTTAGAGCACTAGCAAAAGTGCACGTGACTGATACTGGGTTAAGCCTATGTGCGTAAACTGGTCAGTTCTCCTGAGATAAAATTGTGGTGTATACTTCTGAAGCATAGCATTTGCTTTGGAACAGAGACTGTAAGAAACTTGGAGGCTAAGGTCTCTACTCCGCACAGCGCAGATCTTTGTGTGCTTCTCGACTCCTGCAAACCGTGTTTATTCTCTTGGCAGGATGGCTGATCTGGATCAGTGGGGGCAAAGCGAGGTGCTGACCTTCCTCCTGCGTTACAGACCGCGCAGCGAGGAGGAGCTCTTCGACATACTCAATTTACTGGATGGCTATCTCAAAAGCAGCAGCCCCAGCGTTGTGATGGCAGCCACCAAGCTTTTCCTAGTGCTGGCCAGGGAATACCCCCATGTGCAGGCAGATGTTTTGGTGAGAGTGAAGGGACCGCTGCTGTCTGCCTGCACTTCGGAGAGCAGGGAGCTCTGCTTCACTGCGCTGTGCCATGTGCGTCAGATCCTTGGAAGCCTTCCTGGCCATTTTAGCAGCCACTACAAAAAGTTCTTCTGTTCGTATTCAGAGCCCCACTACATCAAATGCCAGAAGATGGAGGTGTTGTGCGAGCTGGTGAATGATGAAAACGTACAGCAAGTGCTGGAGGAGCTGAAGGGCTATTGCACTGATGTGTCGGTAGAGCTTGCCCAAGGGGCTATCTTTGCCATAGGTAAGAGCCGTGTCTTGCCTCGGGAGCAGCTGCAGCCCTAGACCCTTAAGGTGGGCCTTTCTCTGCTGAAGTATATCTGGGCAAATGCCGAAAACGTGATCTGTGCTGAAGCAGTACAGCCCTCTGTAGACCGGCCTCCCCAGGAATGTTTTGTGTGAGTGTGTTTCTAAACCACGATTGTGCTGATTCTTTCAGAAGTCCTGCTATTGAACTGTTTCAGGTTGCGCATAATGTCCTTGAATCTCATTCAGATGTCTGTGCTCTGATCAGGTGCTCTAGAGAAATTGTGTTATTTCATCTTATTAATGAGCCATATAGTGTTGAATGAAACTGTGTAGTGGGTGGAGGAGCTGCTCTAATGCCTGCTTGTTCTTTGAGTTGTGGTGGGGGCAGAGTTAAGGTGATTTGGGGCACTTCGGTTTTGTTTTTATCATAGAATCGTTTAGGTTGGAAAAGACCTTTAAGATCATCCAGTCCAACCATTAACCTAACATTACCAAGTCCACCACTAAACCAATTAAGGGTAGAGCAGCAACTTTTTTGTAAGCTTTAAAACAGGTGAGTTTCTATAGTATTCATTAAGGATAAAGCCAAGGATGCTAAAATGCCTTTCTTATGTGTTACATTTAAGAGAAGTTCAGACTTGTTCTGAGGCATGGCTTCAGAAAAAGGAACATATCCCTTGTGTGGGGAGCAAGCTCATTTGACTACACTTTCAGAAATCGTAGTCAAAAAGGAAAATGAGAAAGACTGTTTCTTTGAAGTGAGTTTGTGATGAATAGTTGGGCTCATGGTTCCTATTTCACTCTCATAAAAGGTTAACTTTTATGTCCTTTGGTGTCTCTGCAGGCAATATTGCTAGGACATACACAGAAGAGTGTGTGGGGATTCTGACGGAGCTTCTGGGGCTTCTCGTCAGTTAGCCGTTGGCAGGTTGTTTGCCTCACTTAGGCTTCCAAAAGATGGCCTTGCTGGGGCTTGTGATCCCAGACTCGAGGCTCTGAAAGGCACTTGGCTTTTAATTTAATTGGCACCTTCAGGTGGAAGTCTTCCTGGTGGAGTGGGGTATATAGTGTGACTGGACGTTGTAGTTTTCCTTCCTTAGGAACTACTCTTCGTGGTGAAGGGGGAGATGGTCATAGCGGCATTCATGGTCCGATGTGGAGGCTCCTTTCTGGCTGCCGCCTGCTGACTTGGGGAGTGAGGGACTTGGCAGAGACATTTTAGTGACTGAGGGCCAAGATGATTAATAGATCTTTTAAATCTTTGTGATTTCTGTTCCTCATATGATAGTCTGATTCAGTTGTACCCAGGCTTCTCTTTTTCTTCTGCTGCCCTCAGGTCTAACTTCATATTGCTGTTTCTGCCCTCTTTTAAATGGTCTTGCTTTCAGCTTTGAAAATCACATGTTGCACTCAGCAGTTGAATTAGGTCTTAGAAGCTGCTGGTGTTTTTGTAAGTGGGCAGCAGAGCCTTTAAAATTTTGACCTAAAGTTCATGAGACTTGTTTTGAATCAGTGTTAGTTTTAATTTGTCATTCTAACCTTGTGTGTCTGAAGCATCATGAGTCAGTGCCTTTTCAAAGGCTGGGGAATGTCCAGAAGAGAGATTACTTTCCAGCAGCCGGAGGAACAATCTGAAGTTTCAGTGCTTTATTTTAGACTTGGCACAACTTCGCTCTGACAAACACAGCGTCATGGGACTTTGAAGAAGGGTGTCTCAAATCATAGTCAAAAGCAAGGCACTGACCTCCCTAGCTAAGATTTGCAAAGTCTCTTGAGTGTTTTTTTAATGATTTCCACCCCCGCTGCCCCCTGTGGTTTTATAACTTGGGGAACGCTGAGCATTTTGTTTCATTGCAGCAGTAGTACAGGCTTTTCGGGACCTGGTTTGGCTGTGTCCCCAGTGCACGGATGCGGTGTGTCGGGCGCTGCCTAGCTGTGAGGACGCCATCCAGGACAGTGAGGTAAGGTGGCTTTGTGCCTCGGGCTGGCAGCTGTTGAGGATGGGTGGACAATGACTGTTTGGCTTTCTTTGGGTCACGACTGGCGGGTTGTGAAATCTTCAGAAGACTTGTTCTCTCATACCTGTTTATTTCATGTCAGCACTGTCTTTCTGGTAAACAGCGCCAATTTGCTATTTTCTCTGTGGTTCCTTCAGGGCAAGCAAGCGCTGATCTGGCTCCTGGGCACACATGGTGAGAAAGTGCCGAATGCCCCCTATGTTTTAGAGGACTTTGTGGAGAACGTGAAATCGGAGATGTTCCCAGCAGTGAAAATGGAGCTTCTGACAGCACTGGTGCGACTTTTCCTGTCTCGTCCTGCTGAGTGTCAGGACATGCTAGGGAGACTGCTCTATTACTGCATAGGTGGGTTCCCTTTGTCCTGTTTCACTGAAGCTGTAGTTCAGGCTTTTTGGGACCTGGTTTGGCTGTGTCCCCACTGTGTGGATGTTGTGTGTCAGCATCCTAGCTGTGAGGAGACCATCCAGGATGGTCTGGTTGGTGAGTGTAACAGGCTTACACTGTATCCCTGGGAATCTGTTTTTGGTAATTAAGGGTTAGTACTTCAGGGAAATCTGGGTGATAGAATTCTCCATAAATGATGTCCCTCTAATTCCCAGAGGAGGAGATGGATATGGCAGTACGAGACCGTGGACTGTTCTACTATCGCCTTTTGCAGTCCGGTGTGGAAGAAGTGAAACGGGTCCTGTGTAGCCCCAAGTCTGACCCTTCTCTGGGGCTCCTGGAAGACCAAACTGAGCGGCCTGTGAATACATGGGCCTCTCAGTTCAATACCCTTGCACCAGTTTATGGCAGAGAGCGCTGGGCACTCATCACTGCTCACCAGCCAGCAGAACCCTCTTATGCTTGTTCTCCTTGTACTGACTCCAGGAACAGAGACACAGGTAACCTGCCTCACCTTCACCTGGGATCTGTTTTCCCCTCGTCAGTAGGTGTTCCCATGTGGGTTTCTTTGGAAGATCACAGTGCTTTGAGAATGTTGTCTTAGTGTTCCGAATATCTCGTGCAGTGCGTGGCTGGTCACCGCTGAAGGCACTGTGATTCCAGCCCTCTTCGTCTGGTGGCCCCCTAAGATGTTCTTTTTGAAATCGGGAGCTGCACCTTATATGCTGCATCTCACGTATTTGTGGTTTCATTTCAGAGTCACTGATTTCTGAAGGGAATAAAGAAGTCCTCAAGGTTCATCCCAATACAGGCAGCCTGACCTTAATTCCTGATGTTTGCCTGACTGCAGAACAGTTTGAGAAGACCTGGCTGAGCTTGGACATGAGCTGCCACCTCTCTCTGCCCTGGTGCGGGACTGTTCATCCGGATACCATACAGACGGCTCTTCACGTTGTCCACATCCAGACGATTGCTATGAGCAAAGCTGGCGTCCAGCCATGGAAAGCTTATCTCAGTGCTCAGGATGACACAGGTTGTCTCTTCCTAACTGAGCTCTTGCTTGAGGCAGCAGATTCGGAGATGCAGGTTTCAGTGAAGCAGAGTGAGGCAAAGCCGGAGGCACTGCAAACCTTTATTTCAGCATTACGGACGGTCATGGGGACAGTTGTTGGACTGGAGTCCTGATTGTTCCCTGCTCCCAGTAGGATGCTTGCTCAGGACACAGGAAAAGTTTCTTTCTCTGGCTTCATTTGCCATACTTGATGCTGTTTTTTTAAACTGTGGGAGTGTTAGCAGCCCTCTCTGGGAGCAGAGCTGGGCCGAGCAAGCACATGTGGTGTGGGGGCAACTGGAGCTGGCAGGTACGGGATTGCTGCAGCTGGTGAACGGGGCAGGGTGAAGGGTCTGTCCTCCCTCTGGGCAGGGGAGAGGACAAGGTAATGCATTCGTGAGCCTGCGGCTTCTGGCGTGAGTCACAGAAGTGGTGGCATCTATGGTGATTGTCACAAGACACTAATGTGACTGATGGAACCAAAAATGAGCAACCTTCAGGGATGTGTTTTGGAGGGGGTTTTTTTCATGAGAATTGTAAATCAAAAAACAGTTCAAAGACTCCAGGACTCTGCTACTTACCTCACATTAAGAGGAACAGTGCAGTGAAGAGAGAAGTATTTAGTTCTTGGCTCCCTTTACATGTGGTTTAGTTTTCTGTCTGATGGATTTTGATAGTAGCTTCGCTTACGGGTAAATGGAGCTCTGCTGTGTCAGAGATGGGTGGACAGGGTACATCGTGCTCACTAGAAACAGTATGTTTCTTTTTCAAGAGAAAGAAGTGTATTTTCTAGTTGAAATGTGTTACGAATCGCCCTCTCTGAAATTCCCCCCTCAGCGCTACTGTAAGAAAATGCTGGATTGTGCAGGCTGTGTATGATGTGTTTGTGTGAGTTAATAGGGTGTGAGTTTTGTAGCCTGTATCACTTTGCCCGTGTTGGTGAGCTGTCAGTCCTCGGTACTCACACCAATAATGGAAGAATAGCTGTTCAGATAATCAGCCTGTGTGGAATATTTTTGCTGATAACTGATTTTTACCATGTGTAACTTTGTAACAAGAATGGGTATTTAAAAGTTTGTTTTCTGTGCAGTACCTATTTCTGTGCAGCACTGTCATCCTGTCCTCACGGTACAGTACACTTGCAGAAGGCAAAACCTGGCTCAAACAGGGTCTAAGACACAGCGTTGGTAGCAAGGCCTGTTGAAGCCTTGGGCTGCAAACTGGGAACTGTCACCTAGGCACGCTGGCTGTGTGCTGAACTCCTACTTAGCCTCATGAAGGAAGGCCCCGAAACCAGTGCAAGCCAGAAG